AAAAATTCTTGTTAAAAGACTTTCTTTGGTGCTGCCTGATCTTATTACTCTCAATCAAAATGATTTTGTGAAAGGTAGATCTATAATTGATAACACTCTTCTTGCACAAGAATTGGTGAAAGGCTATGGTATGAAAAACATTTCTCCAAGGTCTGCTGTAAAAATTGATTTACAAAAAGCCTTTGATTCTCTCAACTGGGATTTCATTTCTTCTACTCTTTTTGCCATAAGGCTGCCTCCCACCTTCATAGGATGGATTGAAGCTTGTTACAGAGAAGCTAGATATTCCATACCATTTAATGGATCTCTAATAGGATTTTTCAAAGGTCGGAGAGGTATTAGGCAAGGAGATCCTTCATCTCCTATCCTTTTTGTCCTGGCTATGAACATACTCTCTAAAATCCTCAACTTTGCTACTGCCAGAGGTATTTTTGGATATCATCCAAAATGCAAGAAGATAGGTATCACTCATCTCTCTTTTGTTGATGATCTTCTGATATTTTGCAAAGGAAATCTTGAGTCTATTGTTGGTGTTACCAGTGTTCTTAACCACTTCTATACCTTGTCTGGCCTTAACCTTAATGTTAACAAGACAAAATTATTTGTTGTTGAAATTTCTGCTGGAACTCTTGAATCTATCAAAACTGCCACTGGTTTTAAACAAGGTTTTCTGCCAGTTAGATAACTTACTGAGTCAGTTTGTATTCCTCTTCTTGACAACTTCAAAGCTAGACTTCACCATTGGTCTGGAAAATTATTAAGCTATGATGGACGTCTTGAGCTTATAAAAATTGTCCTCTATAGTGTTGTTAATTTTTGGTTTCAGCAGTTCATTCTTCCCCAGAAGGTTATCAATCGTCTTGAGCAGCTTTGCTCTCGTTTCCTTTGGAAAGGATCTGATAAAGCTGCCAAAGGAGCCAGGATCAGCTGGAACAGATTATGTTGCCCCAAATCTGAAGGAGGCCTTGGTTTGAAGGATCTTAATTCATGGAACAAGGCTTGCATGATTCAACTCATTCGAAAACTTCTTGCGAGAGATGGTTCTCTGTGGGTTGCTTGGATTCACTGTTATGTTATTAAAAATAGTGAATTAAATGAAATCAATGTTAGTTCTTCATTTAGCTGGAGCATTAGAAAACTTCTTAAACTCAGAAAAGAGGCCCTTCCAATTATCTCTTCTGGAATCACTAAAACCACATCTATTTGGGAAGAATTAAGGGAGCATAGAGAAAATGTTCCATGATAGAAATTACTCTGGTTTTCTCTTCACATTCCCAAACAAAGTATGATTTCCTGGATGATTATTCTTGACCGTCTTCCTACTCATGATAGACTGTTAAGAATGGGAATCTCAACTGACCAGTTTGTATCCTTTGCAATGAGGAACCAGAATCAAGAAACCACTTATTTTTTTACTGTGCCTTTGTTTCTTCTATCTGGATCTCTATCATGATTTTTACCAACTTGCGAGATACTCACAGGACATGGAATTCAAGAATTGAATGTGCTGCTCAAAAATGGAAGGGAAAATCCTTACTCTCCATTATCCTAAGAATTGCTTGGAACGCTTTTAACTACTTAATCTGGGAGGAAAGAAACTGAAGAATTTTCAAAGGTGGATCTAGAACAACATATCAAATTCTCAAGTCTGTCAAAGAATTTGTTCGTATTCAGCTTAGTGATAAAGACATTAATAGAATTGATCATGTAAATTCTAATCTTTGTAGCCTTTGGGGCTTGACTAACCTATTTTTTTTTTGTTGTAAATAGGAGTTGTTACTCCCTCTTGGGATGATTGTTATTTGTTGAACTTTCTTATTGGATAATAAAATCTTACTTATCCAAAAAAAATTGAGATTCAATATAATTCATTAATATCATCTTGGTACAAACTATACCTCATCATTTTTAAGTTATAGAAATAAACTTCAAACGTTGATATTATTATAGTAAAATTATAGAAATAAACTTCAAACTTGATATTATTATAGTCAAATAATCAAATATTGATTCTAATAAAATACTGCATCATGAGATATGAGCTTTTGCAGACATGAAAGTCCAATAACACTAAGCCTGACAGTTTTATCTCACATGCCATTAAAAAAATCCATACTATGTTCTCGTTTTGAGATAAAATCCAAACCCGACCCAAAATAAAAAATTATTATTATTATTTAATAAAAATAATGATTTAATTAAAAAATAATATATATATATATATATATATGAGTATTATTATAATTATTCTTAAATATATAAGATAAAATTATTTTTTTGGGTCGGATCGGGCATCTTTCACACTAAACCCGAATCCGATCAGACCGAACATCACCTTTAAAAAAATCCGACCCGAACCCAATTTTTTATAAAAAAAATTGACCCAATCGGGTGGGGTCGGAACTCGTCGGATTTGAGTTCAAATTATTAATTCTCAAAAATATCTTAAAGTCCCACTATATTTAGGGAATGGGCATGAGACCCGAACCCGACGGATTCCAATCCGGTCCAACCAGATCGGGTTTTTTTATAAAAAAAATATGATTCGGGTAGGGTCGAGTTTTTAATTGTGATGTTCGGGTCGGGTTCGGGTTTAGGCTGAAAAATACCTGACCCGACCCAGAAAAAAATATAATTTTACCTTATATATTTAGGTATAATTACAATAATACCCCTATATATTATTTTTTCAATTAAGTAAATGTTTTTAATAAATAAAAATAATATTTTTTATTATTTCAGATCGAGTTTTTATGTTATATATCGGGTTGGGTTCGGGTCAGGTGAAATGTTGTTTTGGTCAGGTCAATATCAAGTAGACCAAAAATTCGACCCATGCCCATCCCTAACTGTATTTCGCTTGATTTAATTTATTCATTTTCTAATATTTATTTCCTTCTCTAATAGCTACCTAAATTTATTTTAGTATTATATTCTTTTCAATTTAATACTACAATCATGATAAAACTTATTTAAAATTTATTTTAGATTCAATATAATTTAAGTATGTATTATTATTTGATAGTGCTTGAAGACTATAATATTTTTCTTTTTTAAATAGTCGAAGATAACTATAAGATAATATATGTTTATAATTTTTTTTAACTTATTAATAATGCATATACACCTGCTCGAACATAACTATTTATAATTTCTCATTTTCTTAGACTTATAAAAAAGATTTAAAGAAACAAGTAAACAATAATAAGGATCTTCCAACTAACATAAGTTTAAACTTTTTCATCAGGCGAAAACTCCCGCACTCCCCCAAGAAACTGCTTAAACCATCAGAACAGCAGCACATGGAAAAGAATTCACTGAATCTCACCTTCACTGTATATTGCAGAAATGATAGAGACTGTCAACCAGTCATTACTTTCTTCATCTAAATTTCTAAAAATAACTAAAAGTTTGATGCTGAAACACGTCCATGGAACCCCCTTTTTGGGCATTAATTCCTGGAGAAAATCAACATTCTTTTCAACAACACAGATGATTGAAACTTCGTGCCTTCACATCGGCAAATCGGGAAGTGGATAGTTCAATCTGCAGGCCCCAAAAGAAAGTCAGTTGAATTGGTAGATCCCACATGGAAAGGGTAAAGAAGATGGAGGGGAAGGTGGTGGATTTAAATAAGAGAGGAAGGGGACGAGCACAGGCATACATACCTGGACGGGGTCGATGGGCGTTCAAGAAGGCCCATGGCCTAGGTTGGTGGCCTCCATTGCACATTGGAGGAGGTGCATTAGCCTAACATCTCCCTGTTTGTGGAGAGTGTACGTCATAATTTGTGGGTGTCGGGGGCTCGTGTTCGCGCGGCCCCCTCCAACAACAACTAAACAAACTAATATACTTACCAATATAGACGTCGTCGATGGTTCATAAATAACAATATTGGTTTATAAAGTTTTGTTTTTAATATAAACAGCTTGGTAAGAATATAACTGAGACTGCTTGTTAAGAGTACAAGATATCTGTTTTAAATTAATAATTTTAATTTAATAGATATTTATAAATTATTTAAAAAAATCAATTGTATCTTTATATTAATCTTATAGAACATTTGTATTAATTAATTTCTTTGATCAGACTTTCATTATTAATTTTATTGGCATGATAATTATTAGTGGTGTTACTTATTTTTATTTTTTTTAATATAATTTAGGATGATTATAAGATATTGTTTATTTAGAATGTATTTTGATTATCGACAACGCACCCACAAATATAATTGTTTGAACTCTAGTTGTTTGAACTTGAGAACTTCCCTTTATTTTAAGCGTTTGATCAGTTTTTTAAAATTCAAGATTTTATTTAATGCCGGGTAAAATTTTTTAAAATAATCAAAAATTTTATTAAAATAATCAAAAAAAATTATTAAAAGTATTTATAAATATAAACATTTCAATTTTTTGAATAATTTAAAATATTTAAAAAATAGTTTAGTTTCTGTTTACTTTGTAATAAGAAAAATAGAATGGGTTTCAATTTGAACTATATCCCATTAAAGATGGAGTCAATTTTTTTTAATTAATCTGGGTTAAATACCATATCTCTAACATCTATGGTGTTCAAATTTGTATTTTCAAATATTAACAACAATTCCTTTACTAAGAAGGCCACTTGGTTCGTGCGAGTAAAAAAATTTAAATTACAGTAAGTGGAAGGAGAAAAATGATGTGTTATTTTTTCTGAAATAGTAGCTGATACTAATTTTTTTAAAAAAAAGGAATGTTAATTTTACTTTAGTAATTTTATATAAATTTAAGAATAATGTTTCTTTTTCGAAGAATTTTGGTATCAAGGTACTTTGTCTACTGCTGTACAGTTGGCCAAAGATTTCAAATTTGCTGCTTTGCCATCCCATATGTTAGTATTTCAATCGACAATGGATGTGGATTTTAAAGAGAGTTTTCAATGGAAAATGATGAATGTAAAAAACCAACAAGAAACTTGATGCTTGAGAAATTTATTTCAATAATCCAACCAATCAACAAGTCTGCAATCGAAACACCGAATTTTATTTAATTTAAAACTTATTTATGATGTATTGTATCTCAAACATGGTTGTTTAATCTCACAACGGACACCAACATTGTTCAAACAACATTTGCCCTTATTCCATCTGATATGACGCCATACTATTAAGTAGTTTTGGAGAATCCATCCATATGAAAAGGATTGACATGCCGCTTGACCACTTCCTTCTCATCCCCCCATACATCATATAATCACGGAAGTCTTTGAAGCTACGATTCCGTTCATTTCAAGGCTCGAAAACCATGCTTTCTGCTTCTCGTTTCACAGACTCGAACAGCACAGAAGAGAGATAACGCTCTCCGAAGCTGGGGAAGACCACCTGTTTCAGTTCCAAAAATAGAAGATTAGGACAACTTTCACTTACCTTTAGGGTGCCAGAAAATAGGGAAGTACCAGACTTAGCTTAGTTTAGACTGAATAACGCAGGGTTGACTTCAAAAAAAAAATAGATAAAAACTTACAACAACGAGTTTCCCAGCATTTTCTGGCTTTTTGGCTATCTTAATTGCAGCAGCTGCGGCAGCACCAGATGATATACCAACCTGTAACAAGGATTCCAAACAATTATCAGTAACGGAAACCACAAAACGAGTCCAACGAAAACTTGTGAATTCAGTTTACAGGTTAACAAGTACCGTTAAAAGTTGTTGATTTCATTATCATATGATACCACTTAAAGTGAAGAAACTTACCAACAATCCTTCTTTCAAAGCAAGTTGTTTTGCAGTTTCAATAGCTTCTTCACTCGATATCTGCAGTCATACAGGTAACAACCATTAAAGCGAATGATAGCATACGCACATGGAAGAAATGCTACAAAATGAAGATAGCATATGCTCATAAATGTCGAATACAACCATATTTCCTTATAATCATCTAAATTATATATAAACTCTAGTAGCAGGAATCTATGCTACTCCAACTCTTTGTTTTTGTTCAAGTAGCAATGTCCGACACATATTTGGACATAGACAAGCTACTATAACCTTCAAAGGGTCGTACAAATACATGGAAAACTTAGAGAAAAAAATTAAACATACTCTCATGGGATAAATACTTATATTCAACACTAACAACCAGGTCCAAGCAACACAGTGAAAGCAATAAAAACTGGTAATGAATTATGACATGGGGAAAATGCAAGTTCCTTTACAAGCCCATAGATAACAGCATATGATATATTTTGATCCTATAATGTAAGAAAACAGGTAGTAAATTATGGTATAGGAAAAATGCAAGTTTGTTACACTTCTGCTGAAAATAGCATTTATATCCCACACTCGAAACATTATCGGAATAAATTAGTACAACTGAGACTTACTTGAACAGTGTCATCGAGTAAATTGACATCTAAAACACCAGGAATGAAGCCAGCACCAATTCCTTGGATTTTATGTGGACCTTGAACATTAAAAATGCAGCAGTTATTCAATAGATAAAACTTTTTCATAAAATCATATGTTACCATAAAGAACACAAGAAAACAAGTTTTGGTTAATAAATTACACATTATGAAGAACAATGTGAAAAAGAAGCATTGTAATGTTAAAAAACTTACCAGGTTTCCCTCCGGAAATTACCGCACTTTCAACTGGTTCCACACCAACGAGCTGAACAAAAATATATGCAAGGGGAAATATAAGCAATACGAAAGCACACTCGTGTACAAACATGATTTAGTAATTGAAGTCTGAATTTATTCCGTCTAATTGGGCATCAGAAAATCTAACCTTAATGTCGGGATTCTGCTCTTTGAGATACTTCCCTGCTCCTGTTACAGTGCCTCCGGTACCAATACCTGAGACAAGTATATCTATCTTCCCTCCAGTGCCTTTCCATATCTCTGGTCCAGTTGTCTCATAATGGACCTAGATCAGGAAAGAAGAATCAGATCATGGCACCCTCCTACAGTCCAACAAACAAAATATGCATGCAAAACGTTTTGAAATGATACCTTTGGGTTGGCAGGGTTTTCAAATTGCTGAAGAATGTAAGAATTAGGTGTCTTTGCATGAATTTCTTCAGCTTTCTGAACAGCCCCTTTCATACCCCGAGCTGGATCTGTAAGAACGAGCTCAGCTCCAAAAGCTCGGAGGACCATTCTCCTTTCTAAACTCATTGAAGAAGGCATTGTAATTATGAGATTGTAACCCTTAGCAGCTGCCATGAATGCCAATCCTATACCGGTATTACCACTGGTTGGCTCGATCAGGACACTCTTCGGTATATAGGACAAAAGGAAATTGTGTTGAGTTAAAGCTTATCTGTTAAGTTGATAACTCAAAACTACAGGGTAATAATAAAATCGACACAGTCTTGATTTTACACGTAAAATTGTTCAGATAGAATTGAAAGGAACAAACATGTAGTTGTGTCGCTCCAACTCTTTGTTTCTCTTATAGTACCCATGTTAATAGTGGCATAAGAGACTATAGAAGCCAATGCATAATTTTACTTGCAAAGCGAAGGTGATCTAACATTAACTTGACAATGCGATTCCATAAATGTCTAGGAGAGAAATACCAACCTCACCCGGATTAATGAGACCCTTCTCCTCTGCATCTGCAATCATACTATATCCAATCCTGCAAAGAAAAGAAGAGTTTGCATCCCATCAAAGATTATCTATAAACTTCAGTCCTACATAACTGATAGCGGCATAAGAGGCAGGTGATAGTGTACGATAAATCCTTGTTCAACGTATTATATGACACAATTTTCAAACGGGGAAGTGGAAGTAATTTAATACCTGTCCTTGACACTGGAGCAGGGTTCCATTGCCTCCAACTTAGCAGCAATTTTAGCAAAGCATCCATCGACAACGTTATTCAGATAAACCAGTGGTGTTTTACCGATCAACTTTTTATATCAAATCCAACAAGATTAACGAGGTTAACAATTATTTTCTTGAATTAAACAAAACATAAATTGAAGTAAATTTATTAATAAGGATGAACACTGGCTTACTTCAGTGACATCTTTGGCAATTAAACTCTTGTCCTCCATTTCTTCTCAAGTTACTGCACAAGCACTGCAGAGCAAAATTGTTAAGCAAAACAAACTGAACTGACAGAAAATTGATGCAATTTGAATACTTTAAGAGTAACAGCAATTAGTGAGATTTCAAAATATTTGGATTAAACTACAATTGAAGTACCAAACAGACTCTTTATGAAAGGGGTAAAATTTCCCAAAGTGCTGAACACTAAATGGATTCTAAAAATCCACTGAAGTTACAGTAACCAATCAAAAAAAACCCATACATAAAAACAAGAAAAAGAAGTAACCAACAAAAACCATAAATCAAACCTTAAACACACACACACAAAAAACTAGAATTTTACAGATTTTAAAGTACCCAAATTTCCATATTACAACTTCTCCAAAGAAAGGCGGTTTTTTCCAGCAGAATCTTTGAGACACTAACGATAGAAAAGCTAAGATAAAATAATTAAAAACTATAATTTTGCAGAGGCTGAAGTACCCAAATTCCAAGCTTGCAACTTCTCAAAAGAAAGTCAGTGTTTTCTAAGGAGAATCATATTGTAAAATATGATAGATAAGCTTTAAAAAAATAAACTTCAAAGACTTTACCTTGTCTAAACTGAGAATGTAGATGAAACTCTGATAGAATTTCCAGGGATTTTATGGCAGTGCCTTGTGCCCTTATCAATTGTCAATATCTGCCTACTATAAAATAAAAATGTTATCTGGATTAGCTGGCTAATATAAAACCTTCGCCAATATTTCTTGCTTGACGGTATCTATCTGGCAGAGACTTCGGAGTCATCTGGCGTTAGGCGACGAGGACAAATAAAAAAAAAAATTAAGGGAACCTAATTATTTATTATAAGAATCAGGTAAACTACTTATTTAGTATCTAAACTATCAATTTTTTTATTTTAATACCTAAACTTTTAATTTTTTCAAAACGATACCACCTAACGCTTAGTTTTCTGCTGATGCTCAAACCCATGACCTCTAATAACAACAACAATTCTTTTAACCATTGAGATAAGTTAATTCATACATAGTTTTCCCCATTTTTTTAAGGTTATGAGTTAAAGCATGTGCATTTGTAGCTACATATATATGTGTATACGTGTGTATTTGTGTGTTATAATTTTTAAAAAAAATTATAAACAAATATTATTTTATAACCACACGGACTATTAAAATAAGAAAAAAAAGTTATTACCTGTTAAACTAATCTTTAATAAACCTTTTTCAGTTTTTACAAATAAATATTTTTTTCACTTTTTACAAATAAATCTACTTTCATGTTATATATAATATTCATACAATTCTTTCATTAAATCGAAACTTTATAAAAAAATAATTATTTTTTTAATTTTAATTTTAAATATTTTTTTAATATTTTCATAAACTTTTTTTCTTTCTAAAATCAAATAAATATTTAAACCTTTTAAAAGGTTAATTAGGTATTTCTATTGTGTCACCATGTACACATAAATCATTACGTCAACATCATAAATCATCATATTTTATATTCAACTTATGTTACGTATGAATTATGGACATAAAATTTAATCGAAGTCTATTCATACTTTTAAATTGGTAACCTAAATTACTTTGAATTTATTCATACTATTAATAAAAATATATTATTTTTTAATTTAATATTTAATGATTTCTTACATTATTTAATTAAAATTTTAGCTTTTAAAAATATTTATGTTATAATACTATATATTATTACAAATCTTTTCTGTGATAATCTTTTCAAATATAAAAAACTTAATATAGTGTATTAAACATTTTAAGACGAGTATTCATTCTGCATTTCAAGTGGATCAATTCTTCTTTCCTGATTTAATATTTTTATCCAAATTTATTGAGGACCTCATGGCTATATAAATAGTCTAATCCTATAATAAGTCCAATATAAATTATATGTTATTTCTTTTCATATTTTATTTTAATTTAAATCTTATTATATATAAGTTTTATTTATATTGATTCCGGATTAAGTTGGCATGCAACATAATGATTCATTAGGGTAGTATTTATTCGCTGTGCATATTTTTCCATATACTTAATGTCTTTCTCGAGATTAATGATAATTAAGTATTGTAGTCCATCATAATACGCGATAATAAAAAATGAACAAAGTCGATTTGGTGGGATTTATTCGCAAGTATTTTATAAGTTCGTAATAATTAAAAAAAAATGAACAAAGAAGATTTGATAGGATTTATTACAAAAATATTACAAATTTTTATATTTTTAAAATTAAGGTTCCGCGTAAAACTACCCAAAATTACTGATCAAACAAGTATAACACATTGAAAGATAGTGCGAAGAAGAAGACATTTTGCCTCTTTGTTTGTTAATCTCGAAAATAATACGACACGTTTAATATGTAGAGTAAAAACATTTTATTTTGATACGATGAAGAAGAAAACAGGAAATACATGTTAATTCACCCTGATTTTAAGTTGTCGAGTGGGAAGAATAGGTTGAATCAGAAGGCATGAGAGTAAACTCAGCAGCAGTGAGTCAGCATAACAGAAGCAAGTGATTCCAGAATAGAGAACCCACCAACTAAAAGGAAAGAAATATATTGGGTGATATTTTTCTACCATTTCCAACTACTTGTTAATAAAGAGAGATTATGTTTTAACCTACCGCAAAAACTAACAACTCCAACAAACTTGCAAAAATTAACAGAGCTTTGTGTCCAGAGGTAAGAGTGTCGCCTCCTAACCCATATTGTTGATGCTGTGCAAAACCTGCAATCTCCACGCTTTTATTCTCAAAGAAACTCTGAGCAGAGCCGCAAGCAAGGCTTCATCATACTTGAACCCGCACGATCTGCGCTCATATCATATATCCCAGTGTGAATTTCTCTTCCAGCCTGCTCTTATCATCTTCGTCTGAACTCGGGCCGTCTTCTTTGTAAACTTCAGTGGAGTTTCTGATGCTGAGATGCAGTTGCCTTTTTCATTTTTGGTTGTTGTTGGGGTGGGGGGTTGGATTTCAGAAATATAGTGGGTTTGGGGTGGAGAAGACACAGATGGTGTGGTTTTGGGTAAGGTTGGGTTAATCGGTGAAAAGAAAAGACGACCCTTGTTGCAGAAGCCATTTCGTAGAGTTTCGGTTGTTTGGGGTTTGGTGGTGTTTTGTTCAGGTTGTTAACTGATATTTTGAGTGGAGGAGAAACGAATGTATCAATTGAAATGTAGTAGTCGGATACCAGTAGAATTATTCTTCTAATAGGCTAGGCTGGGCTTTCTGTTTGACTTCAGTAATTGGCATTGTTTAGAGATGGGTTCAATTCCCATTTCACATTTCCTTTTACTCTAAAACTCCCTACTTCCCTTTTTGACTTATCACACAAATTGGTACCTGAACTTCGTAATTTTTCTCAAATTTCAGAAGAATTATCATCTTCAATTGCCAATTTGAGAGTCCAGTAGAAATCTGACTACAGATTTCAAAAATGATCCTTCAAGGATGCTGTAAATGTATAAACTCAAAAGAAATGAACATAGTCATGTTGGACACTTTCACCCGAGTCCATGTAACATAGGGCGCATGCTTGATGCATTAAACAACCTTTGTTCTCGATAACAAATTGTACCAACAACGCTGCAAGTCTTTTATCAAGCATTAAAGCAAGTCTGCACGAAATGATTGAAAGTAGAAAGCATCACAATGACAAATACCAAGTTATCTCTAATTTCCCAATTCCCAGACCACAATTAGAAAATAGAAAGTTTGATCGTTGGGGCTTTCATGAAATACAACGGCCTTTGATCTCAGAGCAGTGAATCCAATATGACCACTACATTTCATGGAGGCAACATTACAGTCTTTTCAACAAACCTTAAAAAAGGTTTGCAAGAGATAACGGAGAATAGAATGAATAAGAAATGACACCAAACAATCAGAAATCATTCTCTTTAGAAGCAATAAATTAAGGATAGCATCCCAACCCTAGTTTCACCACATCCCATAAATTTCAACCTATGTTGCTTGGACCTGAGGGTAAGTGCCAAAAAAAGCGTGTGTAACATAAATATGCTCAAATTTTAAAGAATTTTCCGATATTCTCAAAAGATCATACTCGGATAAGTCCAAATATGTGTCAGACATGGATGCTTTAAGGAAAAATAGTGAATCAGAATAAGATTTTCACTCACCAACGCATCATAACAAGTGATCTATTAAATCAAATTTCAACTAAAATATAACATTTTATGCAACAATGCAGTAAAATGGTAAACTGCAATCCATTCTGCAAATTTTACAATGTTAGAGTTTGCATAGTTGCATTAAGGATAACATCCGTCTCTTATTCTAGGCAAGTCAATCCCAACCCATGTATAAAAACCATATATACACAAATGAGAATAAGTAGAACAAACTACTGATTCAAAGCCTAAATGATTATAAATCATTATTCCAATAACTGTTCATTTCTATCAAGTAAACAAAAGGAAAACCCAAAAAACGAACTAAGAAAACCAGTTACTCCCCTACACAATCAGCCTATCCATCGATAATCAAGAAATCGTTCATGGAAATCACTCATAAGCAACCGTATTCAGAAATCACCCTCCCATCGACCGAAGCTCCTCCAAAGCCATCTTAATCTGATCCTGCACCAACTCCAACCGCTTTGAATAAACTTCCAACTCCAATATTTGCTGCTTTCTCCACCTCTCATCAATTAACTCCCCATTACGACCACCGCTGCCCCCAAAATTGCCGAAATTCAATGGCATAGCATTCATAGCCAATCCACTAATCTCTCTTCCTCCACATCCTCCTCCTCGTCCTCCCATTAAACAACCTAACAACTCCTTAAACAAGGGTGCTAAACAACTCTTCACTGCCTCCTCTACTACAGCCACCATGTTTCCTCTTTCTCCTCCTCCTCCTCCTCCACCACCACCGCCACCTCCAAATCTCTCCACACTAGCATGATCATGATCACCACTATTATTAAAATTATTGTTAGAAATCACAAACCCATCATTTAAAACTCTCTTCTCCTCCATTTTCCCTCCTTTACTTCTAGACCTTTTCTTGGTAGCAGGGGATTTCGAAGTAGAATTTCTTTTCTCTCCACTCTCATCAAGTAAATTGATGTTAATAGCATTATTAATATTATTTTCATCATAATCTAAAACATTATCTTCTACTTTGCCAACAGTATTACTCCATATCTTTCTAGAAATTTCAAAAGTAGCTTGATCATGAGGGCTTTTGAAGGAAAAATCTTTACCTGAATCGATCTTATTCATCACGTTCCTATATTTCTTCTTCAATCTTCGAAGTTTCTCAACTAATTGGTTCTTGTTGCAATCCAGCTGAAGCTTCGATTTTATTATATCGTAAAACAATGCAGTGTCATGATGATGGTGGTGAGAAGAATTCGGGATGGTTCTCGAGGTCGAGTAATCGAGAAATCCTTTGAGAAGCTCGATCTCGTCTTCATCAGTCCATAAACGTTGAAACAACCGTCGTGATTCATCGAAAAGTTGCAGAGGAGGTTTTTTCTCAGACACCGCGGAATCAATCCGTTGGCGTTTGAAATCGAGAGTCAATTCGCCGATTGGAACGGAAGCGACGGTTAAGACGGTGGAGGAAGACAAGGCAAGAGGAACGGCGGGGATCGAGTCGGATGAAACGACGGCGACACTCGACTGAGGTAGTGAAGAGGGAGAATTAAAATCCTCTTCTTCCTCCAACAACCCTTCGTCGTTTCCGGAGGAAGAGGGTTCCTCGTCGTCGTCCTGAGATTCCTCAAAAACGGCACCGTACTGCTCCGAAGCCATGAGAGAAAGACGAAGAGAGTCAAAAAAAAAAAAACGAAAGATGTTCACGAGGATTTTGTTGATTAAGAAAAGCGTATTGGACTTGGTGAAAGGGTAGAGGTTAGTTCGGTTTGGTTAGAGTTAGGCCCGTGTGGGGTTCAGAACCAGGCCGACGCCCTTGTCTAGCGCGTGTACGAGGAAAATCAACTTCCATTTCATTTTATTTCCTTTTATGGTGTGATTATTTTCATTGTTTTTCTCAGATTTCTAATACTATAAAACTCGTAGTCATGTTCAGTAGGCAGATAAAAATACTTTGGGTATATTATTCTATTGTCATTAATTTTTTTTTATTTTTTATTTTAGTCATTAATTTTTTTAAAAGGAACTCTCTAATGTTATAATTCAATACAAATAGCGAAATGATATAATTATATTAATTTCAATCTTTAAAATTTATATATCTTATCAATTCAATTTTAATTTGATATTAAAAATTATATTAATTTGATCATCCTCGTATGATAGGTGTTGCTTAACCTACCAAAAGAAAATAACACAGACGAAAAGGGAAAGAAAAAGATAGTGTTCATTATATTTTATGCGATCTGAGTCATCACCTTTCATTTTAAATTTTAGTGTAGGACGCATATTCAGACATAAATTTAAGAATATAATCCTTATCCTCTATTACATGTTTAAAAAACCATATAGTAATATTCAAATATACTCAAATAATATAAATGGAAACTATCAAACATGGAAGCAACAAGATAAAATATAATAGGATAATTTGGAAAAATTATTTTGATATGCATTAATAAAGAAATTATTTTGAAAAATAAAATTCAATTGTGTGAATGACATGTAAACAAAAGATTGATAGTCTCTTTTTAATTGGTTGAGACCATTAATAACACGATGAAACGTATTCATGAAATAATTTCTCATTACTAGGGTTGATCTAAGCTCTCTTATTGCAGTAACCTCCGCATGGGCAATAGGGGCAGTAGGGTCAGTGTTGATCAAAGCCTTGTTATCACAACTGACAACAACATCATCGTTTCTAACGGAAACAACAAGATTTAGGGGCTAAAATTATTCGGTAATATTATGACAAAAATTAGACAAATTCATATATCAATGCGAACCAAAAAAATTCAGACATCATTGTAGCTAAATAAAAATCTGACTTAAAGTTCAGGGATATTTCAATTTCTGCAATGAAAGAGTCCTCAAAATAAAAAAATCAGATAGTAGTAATAATATAACCAAACATATAGAACAACATCCAAAATCTAGTTTCCAAAAAAGAAACGACACCTAGGAAACACTGTTGCAAAGCATTGGCAATATCATAAGCACAAGCTTTACCTTAGCCTTTCCTTCCTTTAGCTCTCACTTCTTCTTCGAGGCTTCACTGGCCTTGGTCTATTTAAAGCAAGCAAAAACAGTTCGGTTATCAGCTTTGCCGGTCATTTAAGTTATTAAGAATGGACATCAGTTCAAGCAAACTATGTGAACATGTTGGTTAAACTTACCTTCTTTACTCCCCGGATCTTCTTAGCCCTGTTTTTCCTTTCTTTCATTTGTTTTCTCGATTTCTCTACTTTGGTATCCAGTCCATTCTGAAAAAAGAAAGGCAAAAACTAAGTGGCTTGCATTGTACATCACCCGTTCAAAGAGAAGCCAAAACAAATGCAACTCGCAACTACAAATACAAAGACAAAAGGCATGCAAAAGGGAACTCCTGGGCAATTTACCCTGATCAGCCTGTACTTGGGCTCATACTTCTTCGCATTCTCAACAGAATCGTAAATCAAACCAAACCCAGTAGATTTTCCACCTCCAAAATGAGTCCTAAACTTGAACACAAAGATTGAATTGGGATCCTTCACAAACCTAAAGGTCACGTGTTAGTGAGAGAAGCTCCAGCTTCTCTCTAACCTTGGTGTTTTCAAATTTCGAATTACAATAGCCCAGGCGTCTTTTGAAAAATTTTCTCTCTCCTCCGACATCCACCCATTGTCCGCTGCCACCGACAGCCGTCCGCTGCCGCCGCCGCCATACTCCGACCACCGTTTGAAGCTTTTTTCTCCTGGGAAGTTCACCGACTCAAGGTGATTCCAAATCTGGCTTTAGATTTGCGATTGAGACATTCAATTGACGCAGATCTGCTCGAAGTTCACCGTCGATTTACGCCTCTTCCCGCCGCTAGTGGTCGTCACCGCCTCACCACCGGACTCAGCTTCTTCTCGCGACCATAACTCCCTTTCCTAGTGTCGAAAATCAGTTCTATTTCCAGTGTTCTGGTTCGGTGAAATCTTACCCTATCCAAGCTGTCTGTTTTTCCAGTTAATCCTCTTCCCAACTTCTCAGTTCTATCCATCTGGTTCGGTGAAATCTTACACTATCCTCCAAGCTGTTTGTTTTTCCAGTAAATCATCTTTCCCAGATCTCTCCATGGAACCTCTACGCTCGTCTAAGCACAGGCGTACTAGTGGTTTAGCTGCAACAACTGCGGCAGGTGCAGCGTCTGTGAACTCCATTAGTACTTCCTCTGGACCTGACAATGCAATCAATTTTTCATTTTCCGGCAAGGAAAAACGTGAGAGGGAGAGTGAAAAGGAAAGGACAAAGCTCCGAAGACGGAACAGGCGAGCCTTCACTAGACGTATGTTGGCCGGATTGCGGCAGTTTGGTAATTTCCATCTTTCAGAGCGTTCTAATATGAACGATGTACTGGCCGCCTTGGCCCGTGAGGCAGGTTGGACAGTTGAGGCCGACGGCTCTACCTTCAGGCAATCGCCTTCGCCCCAAAAGCATCAAAATTCAAGAGTATTTTCAGCGAGGTTGGGTGATAGTCCTTTATCAACCGGGCGTTTGAAAAATTGCTCTGCTAAAGCTACTTCAGACTATCACCCTTCTGTTGGTAGGATTGATGACAATGGACTGTCTTCTTCTCAAGGAGGGAAACAAAAGCTCGGAACTAATTCTGTAGTGCAGACAACACCAACTTTACCTATCGCTGATATTGTTCAGGATGGAACCAAGGAGAGCTTCATGAAAGGGTACTCTTATGAAAAGTTTTCCGAAGTAACGAGAAGGAGAAAAAATGAGTTTCAAAATTGGTCGAAGGATGGTCATCCAAGAATCGGAAATGGGATCAGAAATGGTTGTTTCACGATTTTTATCGAAAACCTTCCAGAGATGATCCATTGGAAGAGACTTGGGTTTATTTTTGGCACACATGGTCATGTTATTGATGCCTTCATTCCTAAAAAAAGAAACTCGAAAGGGGTCCGTTTTGGGTTTATTCGGTATGCAACTATTGAAGAAGCAAGGAGAGCGATCTCAAAAATGAATGGCTCTCGTATCGATGGCAGCAAAGTTGGCGTTTCTTATGCTAAATTCAAACCTCGACATTCCTATTGGAGGAAGTCCTCGTTAGGTGTTCTTCGCAAGTCCGGGATAGAAGATGATTCGAGGAGGAATCATTATAAAGTTGAAGGTGTTATAGATGAAGAAAAACTTCAGGTGTTGAGCAATTGTCTAGTGGGGAGGTGCAAGGACTTTGTCAAAATTGGTCATCTCGCTAGACAAATGCAAGCGAAGGGCCTCACTGGCTTTACCTTAATGAGAGCTGCTGGTAATGCGATTTTAATGATTTTCGAAGACAATGCTTCATTGAGAAGTGTGAAGAACAATAAATCAAATATTCTCGCAGAGTGGTTCTCCATAGTCGAAGCTTGGTCAGAGAGTTTGGTAATGGAGTGTCGTCGAGTATGGTAGTTTGCGAGGGTGTTCCTTTTCACGCATGGAATTGGGATACTTTCAAGAACATTGTTGATAAGTGGGGTTTATTACTAGCTATCGACGAAAGTTGTCAGTCTCCATCATCTTTTGATCGGGCAAAATTCAAGTCCTCATAAAGGCTGATGCGAGAATTGATGCGATGGTGGAATTGAAGGTTGGTGACAACTTCTTCAAGGTCATGGTGCATGAGATAGAGCCTTCATTCAAACCAAACTCTTGGGCTCCTGAAGAATACGAGTCTCATTAGATCTTGTCTCTTCAATTGTGGTTTTGTTTTTATCTATATGGTTGTAGGTATTGCTTTTAATTTGTATTATGTTCTGTTGCGTTGTTTTAATCCTACTGCTAGTGGCGTAATTAGAAGGTGATTAGATTGTGGCTTTGGATGAGGTTATATAGGGTTAAGGTGTTTGTTGTAATAGTGTACATCACCATGAGAGGATATTTCGTGGTGTCTTTTATATCGGGTATTATTATCAATAAAATTTGAGGTACTCTTTTCTTCCTTCCAATGTTCGTTAACATACTTTTAGTATGTGAACGAATACGAAGGGAGTTTTTAATGAGACCTCCAACTTCTATCAAAAAAAATTGGGATCCTTCACCTCATACATTCTAGAAAGCTTCTCCTTCAACTCTGCCTAAGGTTAACAAATCAATAATCAAAAACCAGTCAATACAATCATTCGAAAAAGATGAGCAGTTGGGATAAGACTACAACAGTATCAGAAAACATTATATAGGTCTACCTTGGATATTGACAAATCAACAATAAAAAACCAGTCAATACAATCAATCGAAAAAGATGAGCAGTTGGGATAAGACTACGACATTATCGGAAAACATTATATAGGTCTACCTTGGAAACATTGGGCCTCCCAGGGTGTAAAACATCAATGATCTACAAAAAAAAAGGGACCAGGTTAACAATAAACTCAAAAAAATATAAGTCATTCTGGAACTTCTAAGTTTCCCCCCAAAAGAAGAACATATTTTACTGTAACCATACTTTGTATGCAACCAAGTGTATCGTATTCAAATAAGCATTAAAGCAAAGTTCAAAATGAAGCATCTTATTAGCAATGCAATAAAACATCACGATTTGCTCTCTCTTTTCTTTTGTAATTTCCTCATTTAAGCAGATCTAAAACCTATACTAAACCCTACACGAAGAAACTAATAGGGAAAACAAAATTACAGAACTAAATAAGAACTAAGACTAAAATTTAAATTGAGCCATGTTTGGTTGCCGAGAGAAACGAGAGGGGTACTCACAAATTGTTTCCTGGAAAGAAGCCTGTTGGTCATGAACTTCCTGGTCCGAATAGTCACTGCCTTATCCGCCATTGCAAAGCAAAATTCGTTTTTCAGCTGGGAGCAGCTCTGCAAGATTCCAAACTGCAGCAGCACCTCAAGCAGGAAGAGTGAAATGGGGAGAATTTATACCACTGATAATTAGGGTTTCTCTCTTTTGGGCTACACGAACTTTTATGAGTATCGGGTCTACAATTGGGCTAACCGTTTTAAAATGTGATTATTTTAGGCCTGCTGTATAAAGCCCTCCCTAGTTTTGTATAGCTACGAGGTTTGAGTATCCGATTGAGCCAAGTTGAGTCGAGTTAAAATATTTTTGAGTCGTTCGATTTGATAAGTTATATTTTATTATTTAAAATTCATTTAAATTTTTTCAAATCGATTCAAATTGTTCGATTTTCTATATAAATTTAGTTGTAAATATTTGTAATGTTGTAATACTAATTGATTCTAATTTAGACGAATCATATTTCATAACTTGGTTCAAATTTGAAACTTTTTAATTAAACCGAGTTTATAAAATTACAAGTTAAATCAATTCTAATTAATAGAAAAATTCAATTTTTTTCGAATCGGATTGAGTTTTATTCACCCCTAACCGCTACCAGTGGCGGATCCAAAAAATATTTTTCAGGGTGGGCACATGTATTAATAACGAAAAAATTTCGTATGAGGTGGACACAAATAAAATTTTAGGGTATGTACCTTTAGTAAAATGAACGAATAACATAAAGAAATTCAGATTCCCGGGTGTGTATAAATAAAATTTCAAGGTGAACACCTTTAATAAAATGAAAAACTAACATAAAAAATTCAGTTTCAAGGGTCACGTGCATAAGTTCAACCTACATCCGCCAGTGACCGCTACTAGTTCGGTAATCTCCTCTTCCACTTGCTCCCCTCCTCCTCCTTGTGCTTTCTCCCTATCAGTCTATATCACATTGCAATTAACCAACCCAAATAAGGAGAGAAAAAATTACTACTTACTGTCAGTAAATTTATGAGATAATATCAAGGTTCACATACTTTTATAAATTCACATGTCCGGAATCGAATAATAGAATTTATAAGATAATATAATTTTTTTTGTATAACCATCGATATTTGATCTATTGATCGACTAATTCGTCTCGAGTACTGTAGAGATAAGTGTGACCCTTTTAATTCAATTTGCTCCATATAAGATAATATAATCTTTAATCAATAATGTTTGATCGATTGAACTAAATCCTGTGCTCGGTTTTACCTTGTTGACCAATAATTCCTATTATTTTAGATGGTGAGGGTGATTTGAAGACAGAAAACACTTTAATCAGCAGATAACTAATGCACACTCCTTCCAAATAAGAACATCCACGGCCGTCTTTTAGAATGTGATATGTCGTAAGAAATCAAAATTTTAGGTGCCTTACATTTAAAAAAAGCATGTTAATAAAAAAATATTTTCTCAAAAAATATATTATCATTCCTTTATTAATTCTCATGATAAGATTTTTTTATAAAAAATATTTTAATTTTCTTTTTTATTATCTCAATAAATGAATTGTAATCATTTAAAAAAACACTAAAAACGAAAAAAATCTTATTTATAATTTATCCTAATTTCAATCTTCTCTAATCTTCTTCATCATCTAAAACCTAAAAAATAAAATTTTATTTGTGTAGTGTAGGTAAGCATGGTAATTACTAATATGGATCTAGATGGCCTTGCTCACTTTCTTGTATCACTTTGGAACCTCCGGAATTGAAAGAATTCCAAAGTGCATGATAACAAGATTCAACCCCTATGAATATTGTCCACTAATGCTACCTCCCTTTAACAAGACTACCTCTTGGCCAGGTGCAGGTGCAGGTGTCGGGCAGAGCGAGGACGTTGCGGTCTTCTCCAGGAGCATCTTCGTGTATTGATCATGCGAAATGAAAATCTCCCCCTCCAAGTTATATGAAGATCAATCTTGATGGTGTTTTTGAGCCCACTGGGCGTATAGCGGTTGTGGAGGCTATTGCCCGAGGTTTCGTTAGCCAGGTGCTTGGCGGTATGGCTACTTCGTCGTCAAGTTGTGTCGAAGTCGAGTTTTTGGTGTCTCGATCAGAGGAGGACTTGTCCACGTTGGGTTATTCGGGAAACTCGTAGGATTTTGGATGCTAATTTAAATTATAAAGTGTGTTTTGTTCCTAGAGTTTGTAATATTGTGGCACATACATTGGCTAATTGGGCTCTCCGGTCTGAAAATGTCTTGTATTTTGACTCGACTTGTCTCGAGATTATTATGTCTGTTGTAACCAATGACTCTTCTTCTGGTAATACAAGGTCCTGGATCACTCTTATCTCTTTATAAGTCTTAAAAAGAGTTTTTTAATGCTCATTTTCTCAAAAAAAATGATTGATTTATTATCAAAATAATACATATCAATTGACATAATCAAAACCGAATTGAAATTAATTGGTTGAAGGTTGCTGTAGGTGTATTATGGTTGTAGAAGTTTGATTACAGTTTTTGTTTTCTTTCCTAATTTAGGTATAGCTTTCTACGAAAGGTTGTAATATAGGAGTATGTTTCTTAGGTTGTACTCTGATTATATTAATAAAATTTTATGCACTCTTTTCCTTCTTCTTATACCCGTTAAGATACATTGTAGCTCAACGGTTATGAAAGGGTTGACATATAAAGAATTGACAGTATTGACGGCACAAATGTAGTAAAATTATTGTATAATCTTCTTTAAAAAATTATAAAATTACATGTAAATTTAATAATAAAATTGTATTTGAAGTTTTTTTAAAAAAATATAAAATGAAGAAAAAATTCTCACTTCGTGGAGATAGAGTGAACTGTTATCTATTATCAAAAACGAAAATGTGGTAACTCACCAATAAAATTATGTGCTCTAAAGTCTCTTATCACCATTCACCAGGGGCATATCTAGGGGTGGGCCTACCTAAATCATGGCCCACCCATGCCCCAAAATGTTATATATATATAGGGGTGTTCAAATCTGAGTACTTGGTATCTGGTTCGAAGCTTCGGGTACTATAATCTTCGGATATCTATTATAAAAAATGAAAATGTGGTAACTCACCAATAAAATTATGTGCTCTAAAATCTCTTATCACCATTCATCAGGGGCATATCTAGGTGTGGGCCTACCTAGATCATGGCCCACCAATGCCCCAAAATGTTATATATATATATATAGGGGTGTTTAAATCTGAGTACTTGGTATCCGGGTATCCGAAGTTTCGGGTACTATGATCTTCGGATATTTTATTTTGTGACCCGTGTTCTGACCCGGATGTTACAAGTACCCGATACTTAAGTATTCAAATTTTACGGGTATCTGTAATTCGGGTAATCGAGTAGAGTATCGGTTCTTTTAGGCCACACTCATGTAACCGTTTGACTTCCTCAGCTTCTTCAGTTCACCACCGATGTACCTTCCGCCAATGAAAACCATGGGCAGGGGGAAATCATCCAATTCCAAAAGTACTTGAATTTAACAAAACTCAAACTAAAATAAAAGTAGAATGGTTAGTAAATTAATTACATTTAACTAATCAATCAATCAAAAACCAAAACTCAAAGTGAAACTCAGACCCACAAATCTACAAAATTCGGTTCGTTAATTCGGTTAATTAATCGATTTCAAACCGAATTAATCGAAATTAAATTTTAAATATATAAATATATTATATATAATATATGATCTCAACCCAAATTATTTAAAACTCAATTAATAATTTAATATCTAATAACTTTTAAACCTAAATCAATATTAATTAATTAAAAAAATTCATATAAAATTTTTATTTTATAATTATATATTATTTAAATTAATTGTAAATTGTTTTTTGAATTAAAAAATATTCAATTTTTATATAAATTAGAAAATAAAAAAATCGATTAATTCAAAAATTAACCGAAATTTATTCGGTTCGGTTAATATTTTCAAAAAAAAAATGGTTCGGTTAACGGTTAAAGAAAAAAAAATTCGGTTAATAATAATTCGGTTCGATCGACTACCATTTTAACCGAATGAACACTCCTAGGGAGGGAACGCAAAAATAGAAAGAAGGCAAAACCCACCTGAAATGAAGAACTATGAAACCGAATTCAATAGTGTTGAATTACAGGGAAAAAAATAATCAGTGAATGAGAAATTATAAAGAAAAAAGACTTGGGCATGAAAGAATCAAGCGAAGAGTTGGGTGTTTTTTTTTTTCGAGCTTCTTTTGGAGTCATCAAGGTCAATGTAAAATGTGCGGTATTTAAAACAAGTTTAAAATATGAACTACATTAGGAGGGAAAAGGCCAAATTGTAAAAATGTAACCAGGGAAAAAATCTATTTTTTTATTTGGGCTCGATGTGAGAAATGTCGGGCCAGATACTCAATCCGGTCGGATATTTTTTTTATAGAAAATTATCTAGTTTTGTAAGTTCCAATTGTTGGGTTGAGTCAATCGGGTTAGGCATTTTTGAACACCGAGTTGATATATTTTTCTAGATTTGCTTTAAATATATAGTTATTATAGTTTTAAATTAAATATATATACAAATTTTGTTAGATAAATTTTTAGGTATAATGTCAAAATTAGTCCATAACATTTATCACAATGATCATTTTGGTCTCTATTATATTTTTTTAGTATTTTAGCTTTCAATGTTTTATTTTAGGGCAAAAAGACTTATAATACTTGATTGAATAGTAACTTTGACCCTTATTTTTTTTCTAGAGTATTTAAGCTTCCAATGTTTTATTTTAGAGTAAAAATGAACCTTATTTTAGAATGTTAAACTATGGAGTCATTTTGTGTTTGTGAATAATTTCTTGTGACGTTTGGTTTTAATTTACAATATTTTAATAGTTTGATCATCTTTTATGGCTCGTTTATCGATACAATTAGATTTGTTTGTATCTATTTTTTGTTCAAATCTTTTGATTGATTTAAAAAAAATCATGTATGATCCTTATATGTTCTAAAGTGGTTAGTTTTAATATTATAGAAAAAAATTTAAATTATATATTCAGTTTACGATGATAGTTATAAATCATTAATGCAATTTTGTATATCTTTATTTTATTTAATACGATTAACTGATTTTATTCCCAAAAGATATTGTGTAATATAAAAAGTAATTAATTGTGCAGTATAAGTTCTTATTGTTGTACTTAATTATTTACATTTTTAATGTACAGTTAATGTCACTTAATAATAAGTTTGATAAAAATATATTATTTTTTCAAAATTTATAAATAGACCATTCAATTAAAACGATATTACAATCATATCACTTCGTCATTAAATTTAAAATGAACGTAGTGGTTAAGAAATTGTTAATACTACTTGAGATCCCAAGTTTGAGCACAATGTATACTATAAGTACGAACATTCAATGTCAAATGATTAAGAGTCTTTGAACAAATATTACCTTATACTCACACAGATTAATCAAAATATATTGAAACGAACATCTAATAACAATTCTACTTCAAAAATACTGGTTAGTCTGGTCTTACAAAGGCAACTGATGATAATATGATGATCGATCGTGAAAAGAAAAGCTACATATTTTCAGTTTGGAGAAACTGCTCATAATCTAACACTCATTTCACGACATGCAATACAAGAAAAGACTAAAACACATTACATACAAAATACACATGATGACAAGGAGCCAGTGTTACCGGGCGAGCTGATTTTACCAGCCAGAGCAGACGAGAGTTTCACTCTCTCGGTCGGGCGAGCCAGAGGGAACTAAGAGCACGTAATCTGGAGAAGTAATCATGTATCGCGAGAAGTGCACGAGCCGACTGTCGGGTTGTCAATATCCGGTGCATTTGTTGTAGGGTTTGCTGCCGCAGATTGTCTGCCTGCTAGTATTAACTTATTAGCTTTTCCATGGAAAGCTGCGAGTGAATCGACTTTTCATTTCGAAAGGGAAAGGATTACCTGACAAATGAAACCCTCAAGGGTTCCCAGCTTGCCCATGGCCATGGCCATTTGACCCATGTAGTTTGCCACATTCCCAGATGACCCGGATGAGCCTAAAGATCCGGTGGACAATGTCTCGGCCAGCGACTGCTGCAATGCCTCCATACCTTGAGATAGTGCATCTTCAGCCTGCTGGGAGGATTGTTGTAAGTTGCCAATTCCCACCAATTGTTGCTCTGTCAAAGGCTCCAATTGGTTTACAAGAAGCTACAAGCATTGTCATTAAACTCTAAGATGACAAATTATGAACATAAAAACAAAAATATAAGGAATCCTATCAACATTTTTACCGCCTTTTCATAATCAAATCGGAACGTTTATTAAATTACATCAATGGGAACTCAAGTTTTAATTGTTTAGAAATTGATGCGAGATTTTTTTCATCCTTAAAAACGAATAGAGTTCTTTAAGACTTCATTCTTAAAAAAAGTTGGCCATTCCAATAAGTTGTGCCTAAACTTCATATGGCCTCACCTTTAGAAGCTCGGATGACCGGAAGCCACCAAGCCACAAGAAACACCTCTCAGCAGGTGTCTTCCACATGCCTGACAGCAAATGGAAAACATCTGCCTTAGCTATGTTGCTCTTCAGCCTGAAAATTTCATCATAATGAGCCATAACACCGTCAACTATAATATGAAGTTCTGCATCACCTGCATGAGAATTTACTGCCGTTCTTAGTTCATTAATTTGTCGATTATGCTCTTCAAGCCACCGTGAATATTCTACATCAAATGTCATGGCACCTGAAAAGAGGGAAAAAATGACAAAAACTATTAGAGAAACTCATATATGCATGCTTAAATTGGAATTATAATTCTGCATACCAGTGAACAAATTAAAAAATCAAGAAACTCCACGATAACACTACGGTGAACACAACGTCATTGGAATTATAATTCTGTTGCTTCAATAATAAATCAACTCGTACTACAATCACTAGAAAAGAAAGTTTACCAAGAACATGCTTCAGGAAAAAAATTATTACCATTTCCACCAATTGAATGACTTTTATCTCCTGAGCTCGATATGAAGATACCCTGCAGGGAATGCCAAAATTGTAAGTAATACCTACTTAAATAAATAACTGAGAATGCAGTTCGTGTAGTTATGAAGGAACAAGTCTAACCTGCTGCCGTGCCCGCTGGAGCTCCTGCTCCAGTTGTGTCAACTTCAAACGACTACTCTCCAGCTGTTGCACGTACGCCTGAGAAAGAGGAAAGGATGATGTGCTTCAATACAGGATATCAACATATTTAGGCAAAACAAAACATTCAGGTGAGCTCAAACAAGAAGATATTCATGCAAAAGTACTTTATGCAGCAAAACCATCAACATCAAACATTTCGATGAATGTGAATGAGAGGATTTCGAGGACTGAAGCTCATAACAATAAGCAAAGTTTCAAATCATGAGAATTTGAGAGCATAAAGCATCCAATGGTCCATAGTGACAAAAAAAATTAAACAACATAAAGGCAACAGGAAGTCTACAATAATCACTTGAACTCGTGAATCTACCAACCAGTGCCATAGGAAGCTCAATTTGAAAAATAAAAGGAAACAACATAAGATGACCTTCAAAAAAGAAGTAGAATAAAAGCATTAAATTTAAAGGGGAACAACATACTTTCTTCCTCAATCGGCTTTTTCTTGCAGCCTCGCGATTTTGAGCAAGTCTGCGAAGAGTCTGTAGAACATTACCAAACAAAGATCACTCAATATCACCAATTTAATGCTCAGCTATTATCCATGCAAATAGTTACGAAAGCATCTGACCTTTTGGTCCAAATTACTCTTGGATCGGTCACTAGAATCAGAAGGTGCAACAACAATTGATTTTCCACTATCAAACTGCACAGAAGCAATAAATAATGAGATTGATAACAACATGGACAAAACTAAATCTTTTCTCAGCAAGTAGAATAACAACAATTACAGCAAACAGAACTTGTCCCACTACATGATCCATAAATAAAATCACAAAAACGTGCTCTACTCGGGACCAAATAAATGAAAGGTTCATTTCGACAGCTTCTCCAATATCTTGTTAGGTGTTCCCTCTTCCTTTGACTTAGGCATATTCCATTAAATCAGGTCTTACTCTAGCATATTCCAAAATCCAACATTTATAATAGCATGATGCATTTTGATAGTGCAACTGTTAAATGCTTGCCTAATTCTAAAGAAGAGCATCAAGTAACGACAACCATCTAAGAGGTCCTAAAATTGATTAAATTAGAGTATTGAGAAAAGGAGAAAAAATATGAAAAAACAATACCCTCTGATTCATTTCATCTGTTTCTGCATCTGTTGAGATATCAGTCCTTGGACTAGCATCAGCCATACTGGATTCTCCTCAGATTTCTGTATTACCACTAGATATGGGGACTAGATTTTTTTTTTTTTTGGTCGACTTCTTTCCAAGTGCAATCCAACTTGGGTGGCAGATGGATTTATAATAAATGAAATTGTAGTCTGTTTCAGGAAACAAGGATAGTATAAATAACCAAGCATTAAAAAGAAAATTACTTACTCGTTAAATTATAAGAGAAATAAAGTCCACCTTATATGAAGTGCGGATATGGTTGCGAACAGAAGAAAATGGTTGACCACTTGCTTTTGCCAAATTAAACACACTGTCTGCATTGCCAAATAAAGAGTCATTCCCTTGTACAAAAATGCCACTATTATGTCCTATACAACTCTTGATCATAAAATCCTCCAAAAGAAACACACACCAGCTCTCCCAAATCAAATACTTCACCGAACTCAAGTTTTAGCAGCCCAATTTTTCAAAATATTATAAAAAGAAAGTGAAAAGGGGCCAAATTTGCAGTGTGCAGCAACCTAAAACTACAAAGAAATCAAATCAATCAAAACCCAAATTAGAGAACCCCTTATTGACCCAAGTTGATCTGCCAAACAAAAATCACACAACTTCAACACAAAAACTTCCACACCCAGAAACCAAAAATCTATATTAGAACATAAAAATGGCAAATGAAGTAATCTTTCAACTTCCAAGCTCACAAGAACGCACATCAAGATTTTCAACTCGGTTACCTACCACTTTTTTCCCCAGCTAAATCAGTGGAAATTAGTCAACTTTGATAAAAAATAATAACTGAAAATGATGCGTTTTAGAGAGCAAAGTTTGAAGCTTGGGAATGGACCAGAAAGCTCACCTGGTGAAATTTTGAGGAAGACGATGAAAATTGTGTTTTGGGGGGGGGGGGGTTGAAAACTATTATTAGTATTATTTTGGATAATGATATTCCAATCTCTAGACGTCCTGTTCTGTTAGACAAATCGTTCCACTTCCCAAGAGCTAATGACTCCTTTAATTTCGTTTTCAGGTACTGGTATTTTTTGTTAGTGGGTCACTTTGACCCCTTTTTTTTTAATTTTTCTTTATTTTTCGTGGGTTCTCTCTTTATATGCAATATAAAAACAGCACAGACGAAACCTAATAATCAAAAGATATAAATAACAATATGTTATCATAATAATAATCATTATATAATAATAATAATAATAATAATATTTAAAATTGTTATTATGTTATCACGATATAATCGAACCAGCAACCCACAACCCTTTCAGAGGCATGCCAAAACCACTCGACTGAGTCTCTCAATCGGTAATGTATTCCAACATCCGCTCTTGTTCATCTTCAACAATTGCAGCGCGTATTCCAGCCAAGGATCCGAATTCTGGTAAATTTTTCTTTTTCAAAATCGAAATGCAGCTAATCTTAATTGCATTTGTTAATGCGAAATTCATGAACTTTTTTTGGATTTTGTTTATTTAAGCTCATTCAAGCTTTGTTTCCAGATCAAATATTTTACTCATGCTGTAAGAGTTCTATCCTTTGTACAGATTACTGGTGTAACTTCGATTGCATTTGAGTAGTAGAATGGACTCAGAATCTGCTGATTCCTCCTCTCAACCTCAAACTAAAGCTTCTGGTGTTGAAACCTCTGCTGAAGACGACTCCGATGTTAAACGCCCAGCTAATTCTAATGATATGAAATGTCATTCAGTGGCCAACAATGTGGAACCTACTGTCAAATCTTGTGATACTGAACCTCCTAAGGCTGGTGACAATGCATCTACTGCTTCTGTGAAAACCATTTCCTCACCGGACCCCACGCCATCTGATTTTTTACCCTCCAATGCCATATATAAAATGTTGGAATACAATACCAATTGAGAGACTCATCCAGTGGTTTTTAGGAGTGTTCATATTTCGGTTTTAATCGAATTAACTGATAGAATCAAATTAATTCGGTTAATTCGGTCGGCCACCGAATTAGTTCAGTCGAAAAACGGTTAATAATTTTTCTAGAATTATGTTAACGATTAATTCGGTTCGAAATCAATTAATTAACCGAATTAATCGAAATTAAGTTTTAAATATTAAATATATTATATATAAGATATGAGTTCAACCCAAATTATTTAAAACTCAATTAATAATTTATGATCCAATAACTTTTAAACCTAAATCAATATTAATTAATTAAAAAATCCATATAATTTTTTTATAATTATATATTATTTAAATTAATTGTATTTTTTTTGAATTAAAAAATATTGAATTTTTACATAATTTAGAAAATTTTAAAAAAAATCGGTTAATTCGAAAATTAATCGAATTAACCGAAATTTATTCAGTTCGGTTAATATTTTCAAAAAAAAAGTTCGGTTCGGCTAACGGTTAAAAAAAAAATTCGGTTAATTCGGTTAATGATAATTCGGTTCGGTCGACCACCGTTTTAACCGAATGAACACCCCTAGTGGTTTTGGCATACCCCTAAGGTTGCGTTTGGTTCACGGAATATAACATTACCAGTGGGAATAAAAGATTACCGGGAAATAGGATTACTGATAATGTTGTATTTTGTGTTTGGTTGGTTTAGCAGAATTGTAAGATTACAGTGTTTGGTTAAAGGAATAAAATATTATTGGAATATATATTTTATCAAATTGTCTTTATTATATATTTGTTTTTTAACAAGTTGAATTATACTATAATATTACTATAATTAATTTATATATTTTCTTTAAAAATTTTAAATTCATAAAATTTATATAATTTTTTTTTATAAAACTGAAAAGATAAATAGGTTTAATGAAGGGTAAAATTTTATTTTAACTTTTGAACTTTATATAAAATTCTAATTATGATTTTTTTTTTGTAAATCTAAAATAGTTTAAGGATAAATTTGTAATTTAACCTTCGTAGATTTTTTATTATTCAACGACAGAAGAAAGATATTTTTGGGGGAAAATTAAGGGTATTTTAGTCCAAAACGATGGTAATCCAACAATACCTAAGGGAATGGAGGTAATCACATTTCCGGTAATATACCCCCAAAATATCACTGTTTATAATCCCACATATCTCGAACCAAACACGCCCTAAAGGGCTATGGGTTGTTGGTTTTGATCCCCACCAAGAGCAAGTTGAAATTTTTTAACATTTTGTATCCAATCATGTGGTGACTCATGTCAAATTGGAGGTTCTACATTTTGTAATTAAATAATTAAAATTAATAAAATATCTCCAGTCTAGTAGTGACACATGTCAACACCTAATTGGAGGTTAAATTTATCAAATTGAATTAAAATTATGACCAAATTGAAATAATGTATGAATATCGAGGATCAAATGTGCAATTATACCATCTTATTAACTGACATGTCATCACTTCAATTAAATGTTAACGGTTAATAATCTGATTGAATGTATTTAAATAGTTGAGTAGTCTGATTGACAATAACTCAAAAATGGTGATCGAAATGAAAATATGATATAGTTAGGTGGTCTCTAGTATAATTTATCATAATAATAATTACTATTATGTTTGTATCCTCAATAAATATATCACGACTTAAAACATAACAAAACATAACTTTTAACTATAATTTTTTTTTTTGTACACGAAAGTTTAAGTCAAGGGTGACTCCTTAATCCAAGACCAGAGTATATTTAAGACTCAATTAAGATTTACATAGGACTTTACATATTGTCCACCAATAGTGACGGTGGTGGGATTCGAACTTGACCTTACAAGCTCAAATTATTGAATCCCAACCACTTTTGTCAACAAGCATAATTTAAATCTTTTAACTATTAGTCAAGTGATCTATAACCCACCTCCGGAGGTTGTTTCGCTTCTGCAGGTGGGCTAGGAATAATACCCCTCGTTTGATGTTTGTAAATCTTCTTTATTGCCAAAAAAAAAAGAAGAAAATGTTTGCTCAACTGTTCTGTAAGAAACTAGCTTGGGACGTTTGTATCAAGTTGTGAAATTTTATTTTAAATCAAAATCAAATAGGGGCTCGTTTGTCTCCTTTTGAAAGAGTTTATATTCTATTTGTGTTCATTTATTTTGTTACTATTATTTTTTGTTTGCTTATTTATTTTTAAAATATTTATATTCATTTATTTATTGTTCGCGAGCATATTTGTATAACGTTCAAGAACATGTTCATTTAGCATTCAGTTAACGTTAGTTTATATGTCTGTGTTGCATTCATTTAGAATTCGTTTATATGTTCAATTTTTAAATTTTTACCCCTTCATTTGTAAGTTAAAGAAAAATAGCAAAATCGCGTAAGTAGTGCGTAACTCCTTAAGATTCATAGTTTACACTCCAAAATTTATCACATGTTTAATTTAGTCACTACCGTCGTCAAAATTTAAATATTAAAAAAAGGAGAACGTAGTACATGAGCTTATAAACGAGTTTTTACATAAATGAACGAGTAGATAAATGAGTTCATAGAAATGTTTGTCCGTGAACATAAACGAGCTGAACTCACATGTATTTGTGTTTGTTCGTTTAATAAATAAACATAAAAAAATTCATACTCATTTATTTAATTGAACAAACGAACATAAACGACGTTATACAAACGATTCACAAATAATTCATCAAACATCCTATTCATTTACACCCCTAAAATATGGTATGATATAGCTTGCCAAAAACTTTTGTGGTAATAAAGTCTTCAAAGCTCAAACTGTTATTTAAAAATTAGGGTAAACTATATATTTAGTACCTAAGGTATCACTTTTATTCTATTTTAATACCTAAACTTTTAATTTATTCAAAATCATATCTAATATTTACTTTTTATTTTATTTTAGTACCCATCGTTTACTTCTTGTTTCATTTTAGTACCTTATTTTTAACTTCTTATTTTATTTTAGTGCCTAAATTTTTAACGGTAGGGTACTAAAATGAAATAAAAATTAAACTTTATGTATAGTTTTGAAAATATTAAAAGTTTAGGTTCAATAACGGAATAAAAGTGATGCTTTAGGTACTTAGCATGTAGTTTACCCTAAAACTATACGGTTGGAGCCCTCGGAATAAAAGAATAAACCACAAAGTGCAACCATTGTCGTTTTCTCTCCTGAATGTCGAGTTGTCGATACATTTCGGTCAACGTGAATAATTAAATAGGACGACGTCGTGCATATGTCAGCGTGATGTAATCTGATTACAATTTTATGATAAACGGCTCTCCTCAATCCACGTTTTCAATTTAGCCCTCGGGTTCTTCTTTACTCGTTACTTTTTGTCAAAATTACGTCTGGGGTCTAGACCTAACTTGTAGATGCACGTGGTGATTGTCTACTCACGTGATACTTGTTTTTTTAATAACCAGAGATAAGTAGGGATGGACATGTCGAATTCAACGGATTTCGACTCAATTTGATTCGATTGAGTTATATTTTTTTATAAAAAATTTAGATTTGGGTTTAGGGTGAAAAATATCTGATCCAACCTGATCCGGAAAAAATATAAGTTTACCTTATATATTTATGAATAATTACAATAATATCCTTATATATATTATTTTTTCCAATTAAATCACTATTTTTATTGAATAAAAATAATATTTTTATTATTTCGAGTCGGATCGAATCGAGTTCGTATTTTATCTCAAAAAAGGGGTCGGTGGAGGGTATATATTTTTTGGGTCAGGTCGGGTCGGGTGAAGGATATAAATTTTCGGATCAGGTTGGGTTGACCGAAACCAAACCCAAACCTTCCCATGCCCATCCATAGGGATAACTTTATAACAGTATTTGTTCAAAGATAGCTCTCAATCTTTCGACATTGATCGCTCACATCCGTAACTATTAGATGGTTTTGTTGATGAGATACTAAATATTTTAAGCAAG